CAAAGCCCGGAAGAGTCTTCTGGGTTTGGTATAGCTCCTTTGTAATTCTTTCATTTCGCATTTACTTTATTCAGTACTTTATTTAGTATTATTCCTTTGCTTTGTTCAAGTACTTGTTCATTATTGTTCATCATTAGTGAGCTTAGGTGCTTGCTCTTAGTATTAGTATTATAGGTTACCTTTTGTTTAGTAGTCATTCGTTAGTACCGGTTCCACCGTCTGGTTAGAGTGCTTTGATCTCAATTCATCGGAGCTCGTATCTAAGTAGTAAGTTTATAGATTAAGCGCGGTGCTTAGGCTATGGATTACCTGTGGATACGGCTAGGCCTCCAAATAGATTGTGGTAGTTGGCAAGTGGTGACAGCAGTGTCCATCCTCTGTATCCCGCCACCTTATCTATTTAACTTTCCTAGTTGGTAGGCAGGCTATGCCCCGAAGTACTACTGCAACTCCTCCTAGTCACTAGTGTATCTTTGTTACTTAAGATAAATTGCTCGCTCTCCCACCTAGCTGTCCTACCTCTAGTTTAGCTTGTTTAACAGTTCACCCATTCGTTCACTCACAACCATCATTACCATTCAACTACTTAGGCTAAGGACACACCTTCCCTTTAGCAATTCTAGCGATCAATCTATAACTTAGTCTCCCGCCTTCCTTTGGGAAAATATAAATTCGATATTCGGTACTCATTGAGCAAAGTGCTACATGATAGTTCTCTGGGCTTGCAGAATTCCTCCACTAGATGTTAAGAAGTATCAACCTCTGCACCCCGACCTATGTTGCTAAGGTTGGCTCGAGAAGACCTGGGAGTGCTACCGAGCCCCTAGAAAGGCGTGGCGCGAGGAGTGACCAGGTGGCCCCGATAAAGGGCCCATACGTTCTCAATCACTCGACCTATGGCAGGCCTTGGTTAGAAAGGAGGGCACTTCCAGGCCCAAGGCTGGCAACTCCCAAATGAGTTCATCGGGTCTTCGTTTGGGCTCCAAAACTTATGCAGAAGGGATTGGCGCGGGTCAACACCACCACTTGGCCTCGATAGATGAACACTCCCACCATACTTGAGAAGGCCCACGAGCGGTGCCAAACTCTCGTCCACAGAAGCCATCCCTGCTACAGCTGGCCCAGTCAACAAAAGATCGAACTCAGCCTTTCGTCGTCATCACAAACTCGACTAAGTGAGACCACAAAGGGCTCGGGGCTCCTGATGAGATCCTAACATAGGGGTATGTTAAGCCTCGGGATCAAAGGTTCCCAATTCAGAGACCCCCCCCCCCGAGTGATCCCTCCAGGACCACCTGGGGGCTAAGGAGCTACACTCCTCAGGTGTGCTTGCACACACCTTTTGGCCAAGGATTCGGCCAATCCCGAGCACGCCCTCCGCCTCTACTCGGGACTTGGGGGCTTGCTAGAGCCTTAGGCTCCCGATCGACTAGAGTCTAAACCCAATCCTTGGCCCCCTCCTGGCCTTGAGCGCTAGCCAAGGCTCGGGCTAGAGACAAGAGCCCCGAGCCTCCGCAGCTCGAGGGCTCCCCAGCGCTGCCCAATGGATGCAGTGCTATCAACCACTCCTCTGACAGGGGCACGCATGGGGCTTGATCCAAGAGGACAAACCCCTCCGCTGGCATCAGGGGCTCGTGGGATCTCAAGCCGGATGCCTTCACTACCAAGAAGCCTCTAGAAGGTGCACCTGGTGGAGGCCGGTCCAAGCTGACAGAGCCTGACACTCAACGTGTTAGAACAAAGGAGTCGGACGATGCCTAGAGCTTCTTCGGCTCTACAACAACGCCAAGATCCATCCACGCTATTGCAAGACCCTGCTAGACTCCAACACATGTAGACCATAGGCTAAACTCCCCCAAACCACCATGTACCCGACCTACCTCAATATATAAGGTGAGGTCGGATCCTAGAGAGTGGAAGGACAATTCCAAATAGATCATTCCTGTCCTCATCGAACAGCTCAAGCTCGGCACTGAGAGAAGAGGCACCCCGAGAGGAGTACCGGAAGCTCCTCCTCTCTTCCATCATCTTCCTCCTCTCCAAGGAGGGGGAGACCTCACTGGCGACGAAGCTCTAGGATCAGCACCGAGCAATCCCCTGCCAAATCTCTCTATTATATTCTGTTGTAGCCCCCTAATTTTGGGTACTCTCGAATAAAAGGATCATCTGCTAGCAGTCGTAGGGCTCCGATAGCCCAAATTAGGATAAACCGCTGTGTCCTCTCTGTGTTCTTTGTGTTTTTGAGTCCACCCGAGCCACTGGAGACACACGCTCAGTGACACCCGACGAACAACAATGCTTGTCGTGGTTTTGACTCCGTGACACTTGCATTCCATGCCTCATATGGAGTTCTATCACCCATTGCTTTTGTTGGCAACCTATTTAGTAAATACACTGAATGTCTGACTGCCTCTGCCAAAAACATCCCTAGAATCTTCATGCTCTTGAGTAAAGCTCTTGCCATTTCCATAACCGTCCGATTCTTCCTCTCCACAACTCCATTTTGTTGTGGTGAGTATGGAGCTGTGAGTTGTCCCGTGATTCTAGCTTCATCACACACTCCGTGGAACACACAATCTAGGAACTCTCCTTCTCTATCAGACCTGAGTAGCTTGATCAAGTGTCCACAACTATTTTTATCCTGAGCTTTGAACTTGACAAATGCATCCACTGTCTAATCCTTGGATTTCAGCATAAACACAGTCCTCCACCTTTTGCAATCATCCATCAACAACATAAAATATTTGCTGCCATGTGCAGTGGCTAGTATGATAGGTCCACACAAGTCTACATGCACCAACTCAAGAGGCTCATCTGCTTTCCAATGTGTTGAGTGTGGAAAAGGTGCTCTAGTCTGCTTTGCAGCCAAGCAAGACTGACAAACCTGATTAGGATTCCAAACCAGTGGCACACAACCTACCATCTCCTTGTCAATTAGTTTCCTCAGTGCTTGGAAGTTTACATGACCCAGCATGCCATGCCAAAGCCAACCTTGATCTCCCAAACTAGCCAACAAACAAGTAGGTTCAATAGATTTTAAATCTATCTTGTATAATCTATTAGTTGTTCTTTGCACACACATGATCAGTCCAGGTGGATACTTCTCTGAAACTGTAATCTCATCATCATCCATCACAACCCGATGACCAATCTTAGTCAGTTGACCATGGCTAATGAGATTAGTTCTAAGTTTTGGTATGAAATAAACATCACTGAGCACCCATTGATCTCCAGTTCTCCCTTGAAACAAAATACACCATTTTCCCTGAATCTCAACAGCTAACCCATCCCCAAACTGCACCATACCAGTGAATGTTTGGTCGATCTCCCTTAACTTTAGCTGACTCCAGTCATGTGGTTACGGGCACCGTTGTCTAGGTACCAGATCTCCCTGGTGGGCTCTTCATCACCGGTGAAGTGAAGCTCCGGTTGCACCTTGTCCTCATTTAGAGTAACTCCCATCTGAACTTGCTGTGGTGCGCGCTCGAGCAGTCCTGGCTCCTCTGTTTCTGTGAGAAGCACTGATGGCTCAACGTCCACCGCCTTGACATGGTGCGGCTCCTCCTCCTCCTCCTCCCTCGGACACAGATTGGCATAGAGCCCATAACGATGGCACTTGAAACACTGGATGTGGCTTTTATCTTGTTTGCCATTCCCAGCGCCCTCCTTTGCCTGATCGGTTTGACCACCTCGGCCATCACGACCGCCGCCACGGCCACGCCCCCATCCGTCACCATCGCCGTCTTGTGATCTGGTCCTCCCGGACGCCTCGTCGGCCGCCCACTTCTGCTGAGCTTCCCACTCCGAATGAGATAGCAACACCTGACCGGTGTCTGATCTCGCACCAACTGCTCCCTGCTTGGTGCGCTCTAAATACGCCTTCAACCGCCCCACTGCTTCCCGAACACCATCTTCTTGAGATCATGGAATTGCTCGATCCCGGCGACCACGTTTATGAAGCGCTCCAGCATGGTGTCGAAGAGCTTCTTCACCAGTGCAGTGTCATCCAACGAGCCACCAAGGATGCCATACCTCACCGACATCCCCGTTAGCCTCCGGCATAAGCATAGATTGACTCATCCGCCATCTTCATCGCATCGAACTAACTCTTCATTGTCTGCAGCCGCTCCTCCTTGACACGCTCCTCGCCGATGAATCTCGCCATCAGCGAGTCTCAAACCTCCATCCTGGTCTTCTTCGCCACGACTTGCATCAATAGATCATCGGGCAGGCACTGAAGAAACTGAGCCCGTGCCTTCTTGTCCTTCATCTTCGCCACCGCCGCCGCCGTCACACCCTGCTCAGATTGTCTCCCCCGACGGCTCGATGATCTCCCACACGGCCTGGTCCTCGATGATTGCTTGAACCCGAATGCTCCAACTGGTGTAGTTGGTGGCTATCAATGGTGGATAGGCGATGTGCCCACCACCGCTCCCTCCGCCGCTCGCACTCCGGTCACCCATGGTGGATCTAAGTGTGTTTTGCACGTGATTCTGGCTCTGATACCAAATGTTAGAGTCAATGATCACAATCACAACACAAATGTCACGGTGGATAGCCTAGATCACAAGAATTGTGCAAGAACACGATGAACACAATGAGTACACACACGGCAACTGCTAGAGGAAAGTGCTATTTTGCACAGATGTTAAGCAGCAGTACAGACACGGTTATACCAGTAGCTTACACAGTTGCTTAATGAAAAACTGCTAAAAATAAGATACAAGATGGCTTCAGTAAACTGCTGCTGAGCGCGCTCGACGTGGGCGCGGTCACTACTGCTCCAACCGCTCGCCCCACTGTCACCATCATTTAAATTCAAACTTGTTTCTCCCGCTTCTCCAGCTAGCCTGCAGCTTCAGTTCCATCAGTGAGCAATAGGCTTACACCAACATGTAGTGCCAGTACTGCGCAGGCATGCACTGCTTTGCCCAGTTCACGTGCGGCCTTAATTTATGACCTACCCGGATACACATAAGCATGTTTTGAGAGCGAGGAATCTAGACTTGCTCGGCGTTGAGTTGGACGTCGTTTGCCGGCGCCGCCGCCGTGCCGCTCTCGGCTGGCTTGGCCTCCTCCGGGGGTAGCGGGGCCAGGGCTGCATCAGCCAGGTGTGCATCGCGGGCCTTGATTAGCTCCGCCACGGCAGGTGCGGTGGTGAGCTCGGCAATGGTCACCACATGCTCGCCGGGGACCTCGAAAGTGCTGTCGTCGACCGACATCGCCTCCTCCTTGGCGTCGTCGTTGGCCACCTCGTTGGCCGGCAGCACCCTGGGCGTCGCGTTGCGGTAGAGCGCGTACAGGCCCATCTGGATGACACCGAAGGTGAAGCCGAGCACGTTTGGCAGCTGATGCATGCACAACAAGTTGTTAGTAGTGATCTCTGTTTCCATATATCCAGCGGTTTGCTTGCTGAAATAAAGCTAGCAGCTTTAGTTCGTTTGCTTACGGCGACGTATTTGTCCTTGATAAGCAGGCCGTAGAGGAACCAGACGACGGCGCTGACGGTGAGCGAGAGCGAGAAGGGCATGAACTCCACGCTCCTTGTGCGCACCACTTGACGCTGCAGCAGCCATAGGAAAAAAGAACGCAAGCGTCGTACGTAAGTGGACTGATCACCAAATGCACACGTACGTACGTACAGTACACACGAAAGCTGCTATATATATATATATATATTTGGTTATTATTATTATTAGATGTTGGGTACGCACGATGATGCTGAGTGGCGCGACGAAGACGCTTACGGAGAAGGCGACGCAGACCCAGCCGAGGACGACGACGCGGCGCTGTCCGGCGGAGAGCAGCAGCGTGAGGAGGAGGATGAGCCCGAACACGCCCACGTTCAGGAGCAGCAGGATCTTGGCCGTGAACAGCTGCACGTACGTACGAGAATAGAATGCAGGCATGGGTACGTGAGGATGTGCATGGATGAGCTTGCACGGCCGAACACGTACTCCCGGGCGGCCAACCCCAAAGTAGCAACCACGACGACGACGGACCTTTGCCTTCTTTGGCGCGTAGAGGAGGTACATTACGATGTAGAGGGTCTCGATGACGCAGCCGGCGGAGTTGATGGTGATGAGCAGGAACTCGTTGGACTTGATCAGGGCGTAGTAGATCCACAGCATGGCGCTGAAGAGGGCCACCACGTACGGCGCCGACTGGAACCCCTGCGTCGACTTGTTCTTGTAGATCCGGTAGAACGTCGGCCTGTACATCCATGTCGTCCCATGCATGCCATATACAACACGGTCAGATCAGCACGCACAGCTTAGTCACAGAGAGAGAGAGAGAGAGAGAGAGAGAGAGAGAGAGAGAGAGAGAGGGAGGGAGACTTACAGTGGTGCCAGGTAGGTCATGAAGGAGATGATGTTGCCTGCAAACATGTACAAACAGCACCGCCAAACAAACAAAATTAACAAAAAAGAAGCGAGCGAGGCATCAGAATTAAAGAAAGAATTCTGGGGAGCTGGATCGAGCTCTTTGCAAGATCGAGGATATGACACCTGCAAGTACGTACGTTGCAACTATACTCTAATTAAGTTCGATAACGATGCTTTATGATGTCACGCCACACAAGAGGAAGAGGCAGGCAACAAGGATACTGGGTGGTGGTGCCCCAGCATTGATTTGTTTAATTAATTCTTTTCTATTTCTCCTTTTCTCTTTCTACCCTAAATGGACAGGCACCACAGCATGCATATACTACCGGACTGCTTGAATTTGCCGAGTGTCCGAAACACTCGACAAACCACCTAAAACACTCGGCAAATGGTTCACCGAGTGTAACACTCGGCGAACAGCACTCGCCAAAAAAAGTGACGGCAAAACCAACTTTGCCGAGTATTTTTTATCGGACACTCGGCAAGGCCTTTGCCGAGTGCCCGACACTCGGCAAAGTTGAAACCGAAAAAAACCCAAAAAAATGGGAATTTTTACCCAAAAAAAATGGAATTTTTTTTATCGATGGAAGCCCCCACCGGCCAGCGCCCACCCATCTACGACATTTTTCGCGTGAATTTCATGGCTACGCAACCGACGCGATTCGAACCCGAGACCTCTCGCTGTGCACGTACCTCCTCTACCACTACACCACACTCTCACTTGTGTCTGGATTCCGTTTTAGTTTCCAATATATTATATTAAACCGAGTGTAAATTACATGTTTGAGGCCCTAAACGAATTCAAATAAAAAAGTTGTAAACTACAAAGTTTCATAACTTTTCAGGATCTACACTTTTAGTTTAGGAAGTTTTTCCATCCGAGGTCGTTTATAAAATTTGAATTTTAAAATTTTGAAATTCAAACACAGTTTTGCATGACAAGATGTTTTCAAATCAAAAAGTTGTAAACTACAAAGTTTCATAACTTTTCGAGATCTACACTTTTAGTTTAGGAAGTTTTTCCATCCGAGGTCGTTTACAAAATTTGAATTTTAAAATTTTGAAATTCAAACACAGTTTTGCATGACAAGATGTTTTCAAATCAAAAAGTTGTCAACTACATTGTTTCATAACTTTTCGAGATCTACAGAGTTTATTTTGGTTGTTTTTTCATCCGAGGTCGTTTGAAAAGTTCGAATTTTAAAATTTTGAAATTCAAACGCAGTTTTGCATGACAAGATGTTTTCAAATCAAAAAGTTGCCAATTACAAAGTTTCATAACTTTTCGAGATCTACCAAGTTTATTTTGGTTGTTTTGTCATCTGTTCATCCGACATGGTCGTTCTAACATTATTCACAAATCTTATATATCTCTCTTGTAGTTTCATAAACTACAAGAGAGATATATTAGATTTGTGAACAAATTTATTTTCACTTTGTCGTATGAAGAAAAGACCAAAACAAACATTGTACATCTTGATGAGTTATACAAACATTGTACAAGAAAAGACCAAAACACATGTTCTATCTGGTAGGGGCTCATTTCCCTGAGAACTTGAGAAGAAGACTTACAATGAAAGAAGAAAAAGGGGAAATAAATTAACAAAATGAAGTCGGGTCTGCTGAGACAGTATACCGAGGAGGCCGAAGGCGAAGGCCGTGGGATGCTGTAGAGACAGGCCAGCCATTTGGAGATCTTTGCTTTGGTATGAGGGTTTATGAGGAGGATTAGAAGTTTGTATAGATCAGTAGGCTAGTATGTCAAGCTTGTAGCTTGCTTATGAGCACTTGATCCTTCTTCTCAATGAGAACAAAGAAGAGAGGAGCTAGGTGACAACCACTACTCGAGTTGCTTGCCTGAAAGCTTGAGACCTTGGAGGGGGTTTATATAGTGGTAGCAGCAGGAAGGAAGCTCCAGCCGAAAAGGCACACATGCAGTATGGTGAGTGACCCCTGGTGGACAGCAATAGCACACTCAACCGTAGCCAGGAAACAAGATAACCATCCATCAGCATGACATAAAGGCGGCATGCAACATCCACTTCCTTTTGTTTTCACAGTTCTTTCCTCATTGCACTGTTTTATGAAAAATTGTTGTGTACTACACACCACAGCAAGTTGTTGTCCTAGGTACTTAGGTAGGATAGCAGACATCATGTAAGATATCTAGGAGCCTTAGCTCTACAGTGAATGAAAGGTCGTGTACGTGCTAAGGGCACTTATCCTTTCTCTATATATGAATGATCTATGACCAGTCCTTAACTTACAATTTACATGTCGCAATTTTCTCTCTCTCTCTCTCTCTCTCTATATATATATATATATATATATATATATATATATGTGGGTTTTCAGTTTCTTGTTCTTGCCCCACATTTTGTATGAGTCACGACAGCTAGACCAGATGACACCGCAGCTTCTTATAACTGCTTGGCTAGCTTCTAACATGGCATAGAGAGATAAGGGTCTGTTTGATCCCTTGGGCTAACAACTATTTGTTAAACTTTAGCCCCTGAAGATCCAAAGGCGAACTAATTGGTGGGATAAAGTTTAGCCAAGGCATAGACTAGTTGCTACCTCACTACTCCATTAAACCCAGCTATTAGAGGCTAAATTCTACCGATTGGAAAAAAAAAAGACACTGCATACCCTCACGCAACCGCATCCGCTCGCCGCTTCCTCACACATCCGCTTGCGCTCTGCCCACCGCCACCGCCGCGTTTCCCCTCCGGTGCCGCGCCGGCTAGCCGACGGCCTGGCCAAGCCTCTCGCTCCCTGTGTGCGCGAGCTCACTGCAGCCTCCATGTCCAGGGGAAGGAGGGGGCTCGCAGAGGTGAGCGGCGGCGGCGACGGGGAACGAGCGAAGGGGAGCGTCCGTGCGGAAGGGAGAAAAGAGGATCCGTGAAGAGTGGACGCGGGGCTGCTGTTTGCTGCCTCGCCCTGTGTGCTGGGTGGACGCTAGAGACAGATAGGCGATAGCCACGAGACGAGGAGCTTCCGGCGAGATCGAGACAAGGAGCTGCTAGCTGTCTCCATTTTTTTTTCTTTTTAGTTTTGACATAAATTAATTTTTTATTTGCTTGGTCTCACCTGTTGCTAGTACGGTATGATGTGATAGTTCCTACTGACCTTTTATTTTGGAACACATAACAATCAGGGATAAATCCGTCTTTATGCTGAGATAGCACTACATGTTAGCCGATGGATGGGATGAGCTAATCACTAGTTAACGAATCACTATCATCTAATCACTAGTCCAAGCTAATCACTAGTCATAGTACATCCAAACAGGGCCTGAGTTCATCCGTGGTTATCTCTGTCTGCATGAGGGATCGGAATAGTTATCAAGGCAAAGGGGACCGAGTCAGTGACGCAGTTACTTACTCGCGTGGCCTGACGATGAAGAAGTGTGCCAGGCACGTGCTACAAGTAGCGAAAAAAAATTGGGTGCGGGAAGACTGCACGCTGTTTCCGTGCGCTCCTCATATCTGATCCTCCCTCAGAGGACCTGAATGGGCGTCGTGCACTGGACAAAAGAAATAAATACAGATTTAGGCAGGAAACAAGCTTGCCCCACGAATCTGGGCAGCAGCTATTAGGGCCTGTTTGGGAGTTTGGTATATTATAACGTCTAATACCTTTGAAAAATACTATAGTGCACGCAGATTGTCCACATGTAACTCAAAATCACTGCTTGGATGACTGATATCAACGAAAATAATTAATAATATAATTGATTTATGTTGTTCGGGGCGGAAAATAAAAATCACCCAGGACGGAGATGATTATTTCTTTCTCTTACAGATCGATATTCTGCTAAAACTTTGGTATTTTTTTCCATTAATTAGGACTCTTAAAGATCTAGCTAATCTACTATATAATTATAGGGTAAATGGTCCCTACAACTAAACTCTGCACCGGCATCGTCCTGTTCATCCTAATGTACTTAAAAATAGGGATTA